AAGATGAGTTAAGAAGGCAAAGCTTAAGAATAGTAAACAATTAAAAAGTAAAATGAAGTTGAATTTAGCACATTGGTTTTCCAGTGAAATTTTATGAGAAATTGAGGTTGACAAAATAGATCTTTTGAATGTGATAAAACTTTGAAATGGGCCTGGCTGGTGTGAATCATTTCAAGTTCAGCCAGTATCTTTGTTGCCACAACACACTGAAGGTACTATTGAGCTTAAATTTATCCTTGCTTGGTTTTCAGGGATTGTTCAGTGTTCCATCTCTGAGCCTGGATGGTAGGCTGGTTAACCCAAAATAGAAGTTGACACCATGCAATGTCTCGTTGAATGGGAGTTCTTGCCTGGTTCTCTATGTGTATGTGTCACCCTGCCAGCCTCATGTCACCTCCGGATTTGTGCCTTCTGCATCTGTAGCTTGTTGATAGTGACATTGAAAACATGAAGCAGTGAGCAGAGCCACTAAAGGCCTCCAACCAAGGCTGGGTCAGCTTGTTATTGTCAGCTTCCTATAGCTGAACTCATCTGTGCAGTAGAAGCCAGCCCACACACCCTCAGATCTACAGCTTGCATTCATCCTGTCTACTGCTTGATTTAGCATTCTGGTACCTCTGTAACAAAGGAGAGAACCTTAGTCTGACCTTGTTTGTAAGAGTAAGAAATACCCACAGTGTCTACCTGTCTGTCTGTGTGAGTTTGAAGGTAGTCCACGTATTACCAACAATAACAAAAAATCCTGAGATGAAAGGAAAAAATCATCCTTGGGAATCAGTCTTTTATTTTCCACATTATTTATTTATTTAATCCTTTTCCTTGATAGAACATTTTGTTCAGCTGTGACCTTATGATAGAAGTAATTTAACATTTTGCTTTTATATGTTCCTTATTTCTCAGCATCTTCCATTTGACCACTCATAATTTTCATTTTAACCTCTACATAATTCCTATCAATTTGTTGTGCTACAATTTACTGCCCCATCATCCTCAATTTGGAAATTCACTGTTTCATCTTTACTATAAGAGAAAACAATCTTGTAAACAGCTGCTTCTTTTCCTAGGTTCAGAAAAAGACAACATACTTTTTATGCTTTCTGTCTTTAACCATTATAGATTAATTGTAGCTGTTACATTAGGAGAAAATGTGTGTGACTCTGCAATGCTGTAGTGTGTTCAAAGGAACTGACATGGAAAGGGGTTTTGTTTTGTTTTGCTTTGTTTTGTTAGCTTTGGGTATCAAACTCCGTGGGGCAGGTTGATTTTTGAGTGGCCTTGAATCTGAAAAGAACTGGAATGTAGCTGGACTAAGGACTTATTCTAGGCTGAAGGAGCTGCGGCTCTAAGTGGGAAACCCTCAACATGCACTGTGGGCTGTGAGCAGTGTGCCTTAGCTACAGAGGAGTGCAGGTTGTGCTCTCAGAGCTAGAGGCTCTGATATTTAAGGAGCTAAAGTTATAGTACCTGCCAAGCTTATGGTACAGATACAGTCATTAAGAGTTGAGCCATGAGCAGACCCATTCCAGTTAACTTTGTTGCTTTTTTTCCCCCCCTGAAGAATTCTTCCCTAATGCCTTCCATACAACACAATGATGTTTCTAAAAGTACGTGAACAAAGGAAAAACCAGTCTGCTGCCCCAGTCCCAGTGAAGGAGTAGCAAAATCTTTACAGTTAGCAGCCATAGGGTCAGAAACTCTTGTTGATTTTCTAATGGCAGCAGAGGCAAGGTGAGAGGGCATCTGAATGTTTCACCTGTCACGGGAGCCCAGTGACTATGGAAAGTCTTATTGCAGTGTTTTCCTCTGTTCAATGATCCATCACTATAGCCTGGTTTTAGGATGTAGTTTTACTGGAATTAAAATTGAGTGGTTCAAAAGTACATGATTAATTATATTCAGTTTCAATTAGAGGTATTGATCCCTGGCTGCTGTCTTGGCCCCTGGATGGGAGGAACTGCCCGCCTCCACAGCAGCAGACAGCTTATCCTTAGGGAGCCCCTCATCATGGCCCATTTGCCCCAATTTCCCCATTCTTTCTTACCTCTGTTGCTTAGCATTCATTTTCCATAGACTACTTTAAAACTTTTCATAGAATGTGGGGCTGGGGAAATGACTCATTGGTATAAGTGCTTGCTTTACAAGCCTGAGGATCAGAGCTTGAATTCTCAGAACCCATGCAAAAGCCAGATGTGTACTGCAAGCATCTGTAATCCTGCCACTCCTATGGGAGATAGGAGCAGGGAAAGGAGAGTCCCTAGAAGCCCAGGGGCCAACTAGGCTGCTGTATATAGCAGGAAAACAGCAGAGACCCTGTCTCAAACAAGGTGAAAGTAAGGACCAGCACCTGAAGTTGTCCTCTGACCACTACATGACACAGCAGCATACACACACATGTGCACGCACACACACGCAAAACTTAACAGGGCTGGCAAGATGGCTCAACAGGCAGAAAGGGTTTGCCATGCAAGCCTAATGGCCTGTTTCTCCCTGATACCCATGGTGGAGGGACAGAACCCACTCCTGCTGCCCTCTGACCTCCACAGGCATGCTGTGGCATATGTATGCCCACATGCCCCTCCTACACACACACGCACACACACACACTCATACAATAATGAATTTAAAGATTAAAAATACCTTTAAAACTAGCCCTTCGGAGGCAGAGGCAGGTCAGTCTCTGTGAGATGGAGGCCAGCCTGGTCTACAAAGCAAGTTCCAGGCCAGCAGGCTACAGGGAGACCCTGTCTCAAAATAAAAAAAAATTAATAAACTTCTTAGCATGAGATAGCAAAGTAAAGATTGCTAGTTCACACATGTTGGCTAATATGGTAATGTGTGTGTGTGTGTGTGTGTGTGTGTGTGTGTGTATCTGTCTGTCTGTCTGTCTGTAGCAGAATGGAAATTAGTAGGTAATTGTTGGGTTTTTTCAGAGGTTTTCAAACTGCTCCTGAAGTACTGCTGTGTAAGAGGCAGGTAAGTAAGCCGTAGTGGCTCAAGAAGGGATGTGGCTGGGATACAGGCCCTGGAAAATTGAGGGCCTGTCACAGAAAGCTGGGCCTGAGAGGAGAGGGCCAGATCGCTGTCAAGTGGGTAAAAGGCTCACTTGTAGAAGAGGGATCCAACGTGTCCCACCTGATAAAACTAGGCCTGGTGGGTAAATACTTCAAGGGAACAAGTCTGAGGCTTAGTGCTCTGATAGTGCTGTTCAGAGATGGATAGGCTACTTGGGAGCAAGTAAATTTTAAGGTACACATGCCAAATTCACCTGGTTGGACTTGTGCACCTGCTTTTCCCTTCCAGCCACTGCTCTGTGATTCTGTAACTGACATGCCCTGTGCTAATGATAGCAGTAACTGGTTTGTCTCCTGTGGTGGGTCATGGTGTCTTGGATATGAGTTTAGAAGGAAGTTGGGTTCCACAGTGGAGATATCCCAACAGGCATTGTAATCATGGGGTGGAGAGCGGGCGAGAGGCCTGGTACAGGAGTGGTCTTGGGAGTCTCTGCACAAAGCTATCTTGCGCCACACAAATGATATCTGAATTAGCTCTCTAAGGGGAGAGTTTGTTCAAAGAAGAGTATGAGGCTTCAAAGAATGCTCATAGGAAGAAGTTACATCTTCAGGAATTACTGAAACAAACGGTGGTCCAAGGGCCAGGGATGCAAGGAGGGTTTGGCAGCACCATCAGTAGCTTTGTGTGCTGTGGAGAAGTCACGCAGAGGGAGATGGAGAGAGGCCTTGGTTGGGAACAAGAAACTTAGCATAGAATGCCAGGAAAGTAGTTTCAGTAGAGCCAGGGCAGCAGGAAGAACACAGGCATCAAAGAACATCTGAGGAAGAGATTGGAAGCTGCCTGCTTCAGAAGTGGAAGGAGGGGAAGGAGGATGGGGTAGCAGCTGGGCAGACGAGGAGAGGATCACACAGGAGGATCAGTCCTCAAGGCTTCTGGCACTTTCTGCCATTTGTTTCCATTTATCCTTCCTAATTACGACCAGCAGAGGGAATCTTCCTAATTACGACTAGCAGAGAGAAAAGTAAGAGTCAGAGTTGTTCTGTGTCCTCAGTTCCTGGATTAAGAAACAGAAGTGAGTGAATAGCAGTGACCACATCAGAACCGACTGCATAGATCATCACTTCTGCAATGAAAACTGCTCTAGGCAGTGGGTGGAAGGTGAGGCTTCAGTGAAAGTGCCTGCTGGCTGCAGCTACTTCTTCAGGCTCGCCTGTGAGTTTCCATTTATCCCTGTGCACCGCAGATCCAGCTGTGCTTGGTACTTGAAAGGATACTCAGCACAGAAGCATCCATGCAGAATGTCATCCCGAGGGCAAGATGTGTCCCTCCTGAGCGGGAGACTGCATTGCACCTAAAGACAGATTACAGGTGTCAGCCAAGAGAGGGTGCTAGAATTCTTGTGATGTGGCACTAGAGATAGTTACCAGACATTAAAGATTCCAAACATTATCTGTTTCCAGGGGAGTAAGACTCTCATGTCGAATGCCACTTATATATTATCAGTTTAAGAAAACTATAAGCCAACATTTACATATGTGTCTATATGTTTTTGTTTGGTATAAAAATGCTACTGTACCAGTTACATATTCAGCTCAAATGGCCTGTCCTTATCATTTTTGTCATATTAAAAATACCCCTAATTAGTAATATATTTTAATAATTATAAGAACCCAGTCACATTCTTCTCATTGGAATTCATACCCAAAGATAACTCGGTTTATAATTTTCAAAGTCTCTTGTTTCTCAAGCTATGTTATGGGAATTGTCATTGGAGGATACAGTTTGGGTTGTTGTCATTTTTCTTTAATGTGTAATTTTTTTTCTAGTTTGATCTTTTTAAATCAGCATTAGGTATGCATGGTTTGGTAAATCAGAATTACCGAGAACAATTTGAATTGCCAAAGCATCATTACTCCATGTGTAAATCATCCCTGCTTTGAATGAAGTCATGATCAGCCAATGAATTTAAAGTCTTTTTGGCTTTGCAGGCCGAGTCTACGCTGTCTTGTCAAAGCGAGAAGGCCGAGTGCTTCAAGAAGAAATGAAGGAAGGAACTGACATGTTCATCATCAAGGCTGTGCTGCCTGTGGCCGAAAGCTTCGGCTTTGCAGATGAGATCAGGAAGAGGACGAGCGGCCTGGCCAGCCCACAGCTGGTGTTCAGCCACTGGGAGGTGAGACATCCCCACCCCTTCTTCATCTGCGCCCCCTCCTGCCTTGGAACAGGCCAGAGTGAAATGGAACTGACTACACTGCTGGCCTTCAACAGCATGGCAAAGGGGCAGGAGAAAGCAGTGGCTTCCTCTGTCCAGACCAAGCATCCTCAGGGTGTAGTTCACTGATAACACAATCCTCCTTTCTTTTTATAAAATGGAAATCAGAAAATGTAATCCTTCCCCTTCCCTTTGAAGATATATATTAGATTCTAAAAGAAAATCATAGACCTTTGAGAAGTGAAACTTTAAGGAGCTTTTTTTTCCAGCAAGGGTTGGATAGATACCTCTGCATTTGGAGGGGAGCAGAGCCATTTGCAGTGGGGAGCTGTATTTCGTCCTATGTAGTCACCGGCTCTTCTGGAGATGAGTTCTGTGGCTTCCCTGCGAGGCGCCGAGTGGGTCATCAGAACTCTCTCCCTTGTCATGTAGGCAATGGCAGGTGAAGAGAAAGATCTTACCAGCAATCACACTTCATAGACTGGCACTACAGGGAAGATAAGACGGCTGTGAACAGCGTTCAGTCCTGACAAGGTGGGAAGGTCAGGCCAGCCTTCCTGAAGAGATCCTTAAAGAAAAAGTAGCCATTAACCAGCAAAGAACACTTGGTCAGAAGGGCTGGCAGGAGCAGAGGCCAGCCCAGCAGAACAGTGGGCTGTGTCCAAGAGAAAGCCTAACTTGGAAACAGAAGTTAACATTCATTTATTTTTATTTTATGTGTATGAATGTTTTGTCTGCATGCACACATGTGTACTGCCTGTGTGACTCGTGCCCACAGAGGCCAGAAGAGGGGATCATGTCCTCTGGAACTGGAGTTACAGGAGTTTGTGAGCCACTATATGACTTCTGGGAACTGATCACAGGTCCTCTGCAAGCACAGCAAGTGCTGTTAACCACGGAGGCATCTCCCCAGCCCCCAAGAAATTTTTTAAACAAAAGATGTAGAGAGGTTGTTTCAAGAAAGCAGTTTCGTTGTCCCTCTTTGTTGGAAACCTAAGTAACTTCACATTGACATCTACTGGGAAGGTCTGTCATTTAGGACAAAGCAGTGATGTCATCTAGGCCTGCGCTCACATACTAACTCTGCCACTTATTTGGAAAAAGTGTGAGAAGACTTTGCCCTGACATAAGACGTGTCCGATATCTCACCCCCAGCCTTGTGTTGGTAGCTTTGCTGCTAGGAAGATTGTTTCCTATTTACCGTCCTCTTTTCTCCCGCATTCTTCAGCTTGATGATGTCCTTTCTCTAGGACATTTAAAATGGAGAGCTTAAGTTTGGGTGATTAATGAATGATAAAAATAGCTGAGGAAGGCCTTTCTTTTTTAAATGAAATTTATAATCAAATAAACGGGTAAAGAAAGGAAGGTGGGACTGGAGAATCTGGCTTTGGCCAGGTGCCCTTTGACTTCAGTTCAGCCATCCCTTCTGAATTCATGCGTGTGAAGTTGTGGTCCAACGCACTGGTCTTTGTCCGCTTTCCCTGGAAAACGTCATCCTTGTTGTTCAGTGGAACCAGGCTTGATGCTTGGCATTTAGCTTCATTCTTTTTACTCAGTGCAAACTGTATTTTAACCGTGACTTTTCTATGAAGTTTTACTTGATTTTACCTTTTTGAATACTGAATGGTCTTTCATTTGCTGCCTTTTATCAAGTAGCTGTCATCTCTGTATCATTATGTAGAAACAAGCCCCAAAACATTATGTTACTTGTTAACCTTCAGCTTATGGGTAGTAATTTTTCATATATCCAGAATTCTAGCTTTTTGGCTTGGGTTTTGTTTTTTTTTTTTAATTCTTTTTTAAAATATTTATTATTTTTATTTTGTGTGTATGAGTGTATTTTGGTTTTATAAAGGACAAACCAGTAAGAAATAGTGTGTGTTACTGATGTTCCCAGTGGGAGCATCCTTAGTGCGCTCCATTGCAGAGCCAGGTGACCAGGCGTGTGATGACAGGGTGATGCACCTCACTGTTGTTCATAACTGAATGGGCCGCTCCACTTGAGGGTGATGACCTTGAGAGGTAGAATGCCTCCTGCCTTGCTTGCTGCCTTTGCTGAAAACAGCTTTCAGAACTCAGGCTTCTGATGTCTTACAGACAAGTTGTCCTTCTCACAAGGGTGTCCTCGATCAACAGTGGCACTGAAAACTGGGTTACAGTGTCTCTGATCTGAACAAAGAGGGTGTTGGGTACACAGGACCTGGGACTGTCTGTAAGCAGAGGCCTAAAAAAGCATTCAGAGCTGTTAGGCTGGCATCATTATTGGAAGAGTGATGCATCTGAGTTCATATAGTCTATTTTTGTTTTAGAATCTCATGGCAGGGAAAGAAGGGGGTTTTCAGGGAGTAGGTTTCAAGTCCCAGGTTGGCCTTTTAACTTGCTGTGTAGCTGAGACTGGACTTGAACTCCTGATCCTCCAGCCTCCACTTCTCACATGCCAAGGCTACATGTGAACACCACCAGGCCTAGAAAAAGAATTCATTTTATACTGAGTCTCTCCTTTGGAAGTGATTTTATTGAGCCTATTTAAATGTTTATGAATGGGGCTGGAGAGGTGACTCAGTGGGTAAGAGGATCAGAACCTGTGTTCCAATCCCCAGCATCACCAGGCGGGCTGCAAATGCCTGTCATCCAAGCACTGGGGAGCAGAGACCAGCAAATTCCGGGAGTTCACTGACCTGCCAACCTAGACCGAACACCAAGCTTCTGATTTTAGTGAGAAGCCCTATCTCAAGGCAGTAAGGTGGAGAACAATGGAGGAAGACGCCAAGTGTCCTCCTTTGGCTTCCACATGCACCCATACATTCATATTTATGCAAAACACACATACACACACACACACTCAAAACAATTATAAAAATTTTCCCTTCATTTTCTAATTGGTTTATGTATTATGGAAGAGGCACCCTGAAATCCAGTGGTTCACGCAGGCAGAAGGTGTTTTCTCCTCCCAGTCTGAGGAGGCAGTGCAGAGATGGCACATAGCTCAGGGTGACCATCCAGACTCATCCTGGCTTCCTGATGGTCACAGTCACTGTTCCCAACCACCATTCCCCATCACATCTGCATCCTAGCCCTAGTGGGGTTGGGGTTGAGGAAGAGGGCACATACCTTCCCCTTTAATGCACACTGAATCTTTTTATAATTAATTTTTTATATTATGTGCATGAGTGTATTACCTACATGTGTGTTATTGTACCCGTGTTGTGCAGTGCCCATGGAGGTCAGACAAGGGTGTCGGATCCCCTGGAACTGTGACAGTTGTTAGCCACCATGTGGGTGCTAGGATTCAAACCCAGGTTCTCTGCAAAAGTGGTCAGTGCTTTTAACTGCTGAGCCATGTCTCCAGCCCCCCTGAATCTTGATTATATTGCTTCATCTCCATCCCTTTACTCAGTACCAATCATGTGACCACATCTTACTGACAAGGAAGCTGGGAAATGTAGTCTTTAATTAGGTCAGGAGTTCGAGATCTGCTGCCCATTGTCTGTTTAGATGAATACAACTTTATTAGAATATAGCCATACCAACTCACTTATTTTCTGTGGCTGCTTTCAATGAGGGTTAAGTAGTAGTAGCCGGGACAGAATATTTGTGAAGCCTCTCTGGCTCTTACAATGGAAGTATCCCTGTGCTCCCTAAACCCACATGTGTCCATCTGTCACTACAGAAACAGGAGAATAGACACTGAGGGATGGCTACTATAAAAACAGCAAAGGTTTACCAGTAGGTTGAGTTTCCTTCCATGAAAGCCATGGTCATTTTCACTTTCCTTATCTCAGAACTGTTTTTAAGTATGAAATTTTGAACTTATATGCTTAATAGTTTGTAAAAGCATCCAGTTTAGCTGCAGACTGTCAATAAAAACCAGTCTGTTAGGTTCTAGAGAAGTGGCTTGGCAATTAAGAGCACTGGCTGCTCTTGCAAAAGACTCGGGTTCGATTCCCAGCACCCACATGGCGGCTAACAACGATCTGTGATTCCAGTTCCAGGGCATCGGACACCCTCTTCTGACCTCCATGGGCATTGCACAACACGGGTGCACTTACATGTATGCATGCAATACACTCATATACATAAAATATTAAAATCAATCTATTAATAAAAATTTTAGAGAAAATTTTTGTGAAGAAATGTTCTATTCCAGTTGTTTGTTGCTGTTTTGTTTTTGAGGTAGAGTCCCATTGTAGCCACAACTGGCCTAGAACTCACTGTGTAGACTAGGCTGGCCTTGATCTCACAGAGATCTGCCTGCCTCTAACTCCTGAGTATTGGGATTAAAGGTATGGCCACCACACCCAGCCCTTTCCAGTTTTTAACACCATCCTTCTCTCCTTATCTTGCCACCAGTCATGGTCCTATTTCCAAAGCCTCCTGTCTTTGAAAGTTTTTTAAACTACGTTGTAATTAAATGTCACTGATCTGATATTTCTTAGCTGTCTCCACTTTCCCACCATAGTTGGGTTTAGAAATAATGCGCTTGTTGAGATCTGGCTTCTCTCTCCAAGACACTTTTTTTTACATTTGTGTTTCAGCACACCATATAATTTACAATCAAGAGCTTTTGAGAGAAAGTGCTTCAAAAATAGAGGAAATAAAATTATAGGCATTTTCCATGAGGAAACCTTTGAAGTCAGCAATCTCATAATTTCTCTTTCTAAGTTTTACCCTTCTGTGAAAAGGAGCTAATAACAGACACAGAAGGAAAAACATTCCCAACCAACGCTTTGGTACATGTATGTCAGCACAACCCCAAGATCTCCACTTAATCCTGAGATTACCCTGGGGGAGATGGAGTGCCCTCACCCTGCTAAGGAAGGCGTGATGAGAAGAGGTTTATTTTGGATGTGGTGGTTCCCAGCTGCTGGACAGAATCATAGTGAAAATCAAACAAAAACATGAAATGAAGCTCCTAGAGCTTTTCTAGGGGTGTATGCATGTGAGTGTGGGTGTGTGTGTGCATGTGTGCATACCTGAGTGTGTGTGTGCGTGTGTGTGTGTGTGATGACTAGAGCAACAGCTTGCACCTGGTGCCTTCCTGTGAGTTAGAGGATGGTGTACAATTCCAGCTGTTAAGTTGGAAAAAAAATACCTCCTCACACTAGGCAGCCAGGTGCTGGGTGAGCCAGTGAAGAGGAGGCACCTCTACCTCTAGTCCCACTTTGTAGCTGAGATGAGTCTTTCTATAGGTCCCAAACTGAGCAGCTACAGTGGGCTGCTCTTCCCCCATTCCGACTCTCCTGTCCTTGGAATTTCTTTGGCATGTTAAGGTGGGTGGCTTCACAATATCCACAGAGCTGTGGGAGTGGTAAACATGAAAGCTGAGACCCTGCCGAGGTCAGACACGAATAACATGGGTGTCCCAGTACGTAGTACAGGGTCAACCAGAGCTGAGGTTGAAAAGGAGGGAAGTCCACCTGAGGGAAGATGTTGGTTATACCAATTACAGTCTCAGGAGCCTCTAGGAAACAAAGTGAGTCAACCTCAAACATCTGTAGTGGAGGTCCCAACAAAACTGGACCCTTCATACACAAAGCCGTGGGTTTAATCCTCAGCACCACACAAACCAGACATGGTAACACACCCCTCTTAATCAGGGTAGGTAGAGGCAGAAGATCAGAAGTTCAAGGTCATCCTCAGCTACATAGTGAGTTCCAGTCCATCCTGGGCTAGCATGAGACCCTGTCATAAGAACAAGACTGTGCTCACATATGTTGATCCTTGTTGAAGACAAAGGCAAAATGAATGAAGATGCACCTAGATGTATCCTGGTCCGAAGGGTAGCTTTCTTGTTTTAGTTGAAGAGGAATGGTTTTCTTACTTTCTTGTGTTGTGAAGTGGCTCTCTGTAAACACAGGCTCTGTTGACTCTGCCTCCGTTGTTCATAGTGCTCGTGATTCTTCATATTGGTCTGTTACTGTTCCTAGGAGGATTACCTGTTCACTACTGAACTAATGGAATATAAACATTTGCATAACCCTTCTGTCCCCTTCTTCCACAAGGTCATTCCCAGTGACCCCTTCTGGGTGCCGACAACTGAAGAGGAGTACCTTCACTTTGGGGAGAAGGCAGATTCCGAGAACCAGGCCCGGAAGTACATGAATGCGGTACGGAAGCGGAAGGGTCTTTATGTGGAAGAAAAGATTGTGGAACATGCAGAAAAGCAGAGAACACTCAGCAAAAATAAGTAGCTGAAGATACTGTGCCCCTACTAGTGGAATCACCTTCCCTTTTTAATGAATTAACAAGTATCATCAAGGGTCTAATCTGGGAAATTTCCTTTTGATAAATTATCTCTGTGTATTCATTTTCAATAAACTTGATCCATATAAATATTTTAAAGACAATGTTGGAGAAGCTATTTTCAAAGTGTTTCTTTAGTTGATTCCAGCTCAAGGCAAAAAGTAATCATGTTGTGGAGTTATCACCACCACCCCTAGCAGTTAGATGTGTTCTGGTGTCGGGTGCCCCGGGTGCTAAGGACATGCTTCGCAGACCCCATAGGTGGGGCACATCCCTCTGCCCTGAGCAGCTGCTCGGCTCGCCCTCACCAGTCTTCATATCCCATGAGCCAAGCACGTCCTCCCCATGAACATCTCTTGTGAGCATCTCATTCATCAGATCACAGCATTGAGCCCACTGGGAGAGACCAGAGAGAGCAGCTGCTGCTTACCGAGGTAAACCAAGGCAGTTATAGTTTCATCTGACAGCGTATCTGGTGAAACAGCCCAAACATCAGCATTAGCCCTGTGCCTCACGCTCCTTGAGAAAGTGTGCTGCTCCTTCCTAAATAAGTGTTAGCGGGAGTTATGCCCTGAACGTTTTCATTTAAAAAAGAAGTTCAATTTCCATAATTTTCTTTGTCATTCCTTCTTAACCTTACCAAAGAGCTTTTAGCTAATGTGCACAGGGGTCACTGTCATTATTGTAAATGTGTTGCCTATCCTCTTGGTGGCCTCAGGATAATCCCCATTTAAAGAACAAGTGCAGTTTAGGGAAAAGTCAGTTCTGTGATTCTGATGTTGTGTAATAATTGTTGAAGCCTTTTGAAGGATTTCTTGTCCTAACATAAAATTATCACACCTGACTTTGTTATTGAACTACCCTTAATGAGTGATCTTAGTAACCTAGGTCGTTCTTAATAGTGGTTGAGAACATTTTATCTTTACTCTTCAGAGCCTTGGCATAGCTGGTTATGTTTAATTGACCCAGACTCTAAGGAACATGTGGCTAGATGATTCGCCATCTGTTTATATTTAACAGATAATAATATCTGAATTAATTTAGGAGAACGGTATCGTGTGTTGGCTTCTTTAAACATTTTGTTAACAAAAGCTAGGTCATCGATTTATAGCATTTGTAGGCAGCAGCATCCGTCCTCCAGCTGTACCACGAAATGCTCTCTTACCCTCCACACTTGGTCAGTGAAAGACGAAAGGGGCAGATCCTGAAACCACTGGGACTCCTGCACTTCTCCTGGGCCCAGCAGTGTGGCTGATGTCAGCCTGACAGAGGGACAGACAGCTGCTTTTCCTTCCCCACAAGTGGGGGAGACAACTAATGGGCAGCAAGCACAGTGCCACGCAGAAACCAGCCAGGGGTGTGGCTCATCTGCCACTTAATTTCCCTGGCTGTATAATTTGAAGAGCCTCCAGACCTAGAAACTTGCCCATCTGTGACCACAGAGCAAGACTGTCATGTCCCACCCCATTCCCAAACTCTAGGCTTTGCCTGTTGAATTCACTGGAAGCAAACCAAACAGCTTGAGTGGACATGAGAATATTCCTGTTCTCACTGCCTTCTAGAAGGTATTTCCAAAGAAGCTTAAGAGGCAGCAAGAAAGGCTGGCCTAGGAGACCCCAAAACTAGGACAACTCATAGCCAGCTCCCCGTGGCTGCTGCAGACTCTCTGCCACCATAGACCCTGCCTCGCACTTCAGCAGCAAGGAAGGGGCCTCGAAGAAAGCAGTGCTGAAGATGCTTGGCACTGAGGTCACAGACAGTTGTGCTTCTGCTCGGGACAGGCAGAGGTGCCAAACTTGCTTCCTGTGTCTTTCCGTCCGGTTCCCTGGCATCGGGATCAAGGGAAAAAGGCTTTAGCCAGACTCTGAGCCCCTGGGGCAGGAGCAAGTGAAAGATAAGCATCCCCAACTCCATTCTTCTTGGGGAGCTGGGAGGGTCCTGCCCTTGGATAGTGCCTAAGCAAACCAGAGGGAAATCCTTTTCTACTGTAACCCTAGGAGGATGCATGGCACTGGAAAGGGAAGATCAGTGAAGATGGCGTTTTGCATGTTGGCACATATTTAATTGAACCTCATAGCTGTTAAAATAGGAATAATAATGTTATTAAGGCCTGGGGAGGGGTCAAGGCTGCTCTCAGCCAGCCCCAACCCCCAAACTTTCCAAGAGCAAGGAGGGCCTTGGAGAAAGCGGTCCACAGAGAGGCACAAGCTGGGAGCTACAGTGGCCTGTGCCTGGTGAGTTGGACCCAGCAGGGCTCTAGTGAGCAGTAGAGGCCCCTACTCTGGCCAGTGAGTGCACACAACTGCCAACAAGGACAGGGAGGGATTGGAAGCTTCTAGAAATATGATGATGGCCTTTAAGGCAGAGGAACATCTGCACAACAGCTAGGTTGACTGCCTGGCCTCAGGGATGACAGATAAATCAGAGATGGCTTTGGAGGCATGGTCTGGAAGGGCTTGTCTTTGAACATCCCCACCCTTCCTCCCAGGGCAAACAGTTCTTGCAGGATTCCTGCTGCTGTGAAGCAGATGTGGTGGAGGGGTGTGACCGCACTGGGAGCATTAGCAAAGAACTAAAGAAGCTTTTGTTAAATTAGGCCCCACTGGTAACTTCTGGATCCCACGATTGTTATTCACACCTGTGATAGCTCTTAATTTTCTCTTGTACAGTATTCAGAAGGGGAGAGGACCTAGAAAACAGCACCAAGCTCTTATTTCAAGAAACCCCTCGACTGCTGTCCAGGGAGTAGAGCAGTTTCATCTCCTCACACCTACGTATGACCTCTGCTTGGACAGTCAGTGCACTCAGGGCTTTCGAGTTGCTGTGCCTGTAGGGCTGCTGTTGGCCATCCTTGTCACATGGTCAGCCCACCAGAGCATCACACTGAGCAGTCAGGAAAGACCAGTTTCTAGTACTTTGTGTGAGCACTTGAATTCTAGGCCCTGCACTTTGCATGCAGTCGATGAGGTAGTAATTCCCCCTTTTGTTTAAATCTGAGTTCAGATCAGTAGAATGTCCCATCATCCCATATGTGCCTACGTGCACCACATGCCACACCACACACATACCTCTTGTCTCTAGTGCCATCTCCATTAGGATGTCACTCTCCTTGTGCCTACTGAGACTGTGGCTTGATACCCACATCTTTTGTGTCTCTTCTGTGGCACCCAGCCTGTTATGATGAGCCCAGGGATTGGTATACAGATAATAATCCAGCTATCACTCATTTGAAATTCATGAAGGTAAAGATTTCCTGTCATTCTGTGCCTCACAGATGCTCAGCAAATCCCCACGGATCCAATGATAGCCCCCATGGCAGTGTCTCTTCCAATGCTACACTAAATGAGGGAAACGTCTTAAGAAAGTGGACACATTGGGGCAGTGGTTCTCAAAAGGGTCCCAGGACCAGCAGTATCACCATCACCTGAGAGCTTGAAAAGACACATCTTCAGCCTCTCCCCAGAATTCTCAAAGCAAAGGGAGAGGCTGCGTAACAAGCAGCCCAGCAGGTTCTTGCACCCAGGTTTGAGAGACACTACTGTGAAACTTTCAATTCATATGTATGTAAAACTATAGACATTGTCCTTTTTGAAATGTGTATTTACCATGGGATTTACAGATGAAAATATATATACTCTGTCCTGTAATAATTATGATAATAATTATTAATGTTAAGCATAATTTTCCTAAGCATCATTTTGGATAATTTGGATAATTTTCTTCTACTTTACACTAGATTCAGAAATTCTCAAGTCTTCCAGATGTGTTATTTTAGGATTGGGATTCCCAAACTAAAGGTAAAAGGCCAAAAAAAAATCTGTAATTTGAAAAACAGGTCCATATGGTGTCTGTTCTGGATGGAGCATGGGCAGATAAAAGAAAGTGTCATTTGCTTTTAAAGCCCAGTAGAGGCAAAGAAAGAGAGGAACAGAGTGTCCAAGCTATCTGGGGCGCTTATAAAAGTACTTTTTAGGAGAAAAGACTGGATCAAACTGGAAAGGTTGCTTGAACATCAAATTTAGATGTTTCCTTTTTTATTTGCCCTAATTCAAAAGACAATTAGAAAGAAATGGCCTTATGAGACGTCTAGTCGTGTTTTTCTCATTCTTTCCTTTTCCATTCCCCTCAACTCTTCTTCCCTGCCCACCACCCATCTCAGAAAGTGTGTAGGAAAATCAGTTCTAGCAGACTTTTTCTATTACATATATCTCATGAGATCAGCAAAGATGTACACATCATTGTATAAGCTAACCCTTTCCACAACATCATTTCTGAAAACATCTTTGCTGTAAAGAATCCCTATTGCTGCAAATTCATTTTGCTGTTTCCAGAAGTTGTGGCGTGTTTTTAACTTTTCCACTAGCCCCCTTTGGTCCTTGAAAATATATAGGATTTGGCATTTGGGATCAAGTTTAATGCAGAAAAGTGGTGCTCCTAGATCAAACATTTCTTTGAAGTATGTGAAAGTATCCTCATGTCTGAGACTCCAGATGGTACCCCAGTTTCTCTATTTGAGAGCTAATTCCCTTCCTCAGAAAAGGTGGCTCTTCAAGTCACAGTCATGTACTGTACTCCTTCTTCCAGCAAGCTGAGTTGCCAGCCTGAGCCTGATGCAGTGGCTTCCTAAAGCTTCCTCTCACAGCCAAATAGCCCAGAGGTTCTCTGGGGCATCCCACAGAGGCTCAGGACCAAGCCTGGTCTCTAAACTCTTCGGTGAAGCACCACGGCACCCCCACCTGCTCCTTCACTCTCAACCTGCACCCCAGTCCACCATCAGCTACCACTCTTCATTTGAGCCACACCTCTGCCAAAACTATGGGAATGGAATATTTAGTCTTCCCCTTTGAATACAATGATGGCGTCTCAAAGCAGTGAGTGGGGCCCTCATGTCAGTTCCATGGAAGCTAAGCTCTTTGGCCCCCTCAAGGCTCAGCTTGGATGGAGTCAGTGGCAGTCACCAGCTATACTTAAATGTATCATCACTCAGCTAACTGTGTCTGCCACCTGCTAGGACATTTTCTCCTAGAAAGTTCCTTAGAATTCCCTACAAATACTTGTGTGTGTGTGTGTGTGTGTGTGTGTGTGTGTGTGTGTGTAAACCAGT